GCCCCTGGGTGGATGGGTCCGGGCACCCGGGTGGATGGGGACGCGCATGCTATGGCCATGTATCGGGCGGCTCTGAAGAGGGAAGCCCCAGTGACTGTCGTACAGGGGCAAGGAACGCAAATGGCGATTTTGTGTGACCCGTCGAGCTCCTCAGCTGAGTCGTCAGACGCGCTGGACGGCGGCTGACCGAGCTGTCCAGCGAACTGACTGCCGAAGCCGCGTCATGCAACTGACCCAGTACTGGTCGCTTGATATCGATCACAGCTCTGGACCTCAGCAAAGCATTCGACAGCGTCGATCATGGCGTCCTCCTCAGTAAGATGGGTTGGTATGGCATTCCATCACATTGGTTTGCCAGCTACCTCGGAGACCGGAAGCAGATGGTTCGTGGCGGTACTTCAGTGCTGCCTGTATCCTGTGGGGTCCCCCAGGGATCCATCCTGGGTCCTGTTCTCTTCTGTCTTTTAGTTAACGAAGCTCAAAATTTTCTTCCCCATGGACGGCTCATCAGCTATGCCGATGACACCCAGTTGTTTGACTGTTCTTCAAAGGACAGGGACAGTATGGCATCTCTCAAGAACCGCCTTGAAGAGTCCATCATGTCCATCCAAAAGTGGCTTGCAGTGAACTCGTTGAAAATGAACCCTACAAAAACCGAGTTTACTCTCATAGGCACGAGACAGGCCGTGAGAGAAAACGCAACTTTCTACTTCGAGATGTCTGGCCATCAGTTCAAGCCGTCCGAGCACATCAAGGTTCTAGGCGTAGTCATCGACCAGTGCCTCAGATGGGACAGTCACGTGACTCGCGTGGTACGCCGATGCACAGCAACCCTTATATCTCTTTACCGGTTCCGTCGCCATTTTTCAACTGCAGCTCTACTCACCATCATTCGTGCTCACGTTTTCAGTCACATTCTGTTCTGCTTACCTGTCTGGGCAAGTGCCTCTGGTGAGCAACGGAAGCGCATACAAAAAGTAATCAATTTCGCGGCCCGTGTGGTGACTGGCACGCGAAAAACTGAGCACATCGCCCCTGTCTTGCGGTCTCTGGGCTGGCAGAACATCGAAGGCATGATTTTCGAGCGGGACTGTATCAAGGTGTTTAACGCGCTCAATGACCAGTATGCTCCAAACACGATGCGCATCATGTTCACGCGGAGACGGGAAACGTCGCTTCGTGATACCCGTCTCGCTCGATCAGAGCAGCTCGCGCTGCCAAGGGTACGGCTGAGCACCACTCAACGTGTCTTCTCTTACCGAGCCGCGACAGCGTGGAACACGCTCCCGCCTACTGTAACACAGTGCACTTCGAGAGGGCAGTTCATGGTCAGGTTGGGAGAGGTGCAACAGAGTGGAAACAGTGCTTAGGTGTGTGATATATGTAGGTATGATTCATCATCGAGTGTTTATCTAGAACGCCTCAGTTTGTATTATTGTGTGTATGTGCAGTGTGCATTTATTGTATGACGCAAACTTCCGAACAGCTGTGCGCGCACGGATGGAGTTTAATATACCATACCATACCATACCATACCATACTGTGAAAGCAGTGAACAGTACTGTTTTGTACTGTACTGTGTTTTGTTGTGTAAAGGTCTTTTGGTCTGACAAGATCATTGCTACACATCACGTTCTGCTGTTTTGGAAAATACTAACAAACTTTGTCAGGATTTAGGGGAGTTTTGCGACGCAACTAGAAATGTAGCTATGTAGTTTTAAAATGTAGCTATTTAGACAAAAACTATGTAAAATGTAAAGTATTTACACATGTAACATACCTAATACCAATTATGTTCTTTGGACTGGACAAAAGTAAAATCATGAACGATCTCACTACGTCAGTGTGCACTGCACAGGGCAGGTCAGTCTCTGCACACTGTGCAAGAGACTGACCTCCTGCCCTGGGAGGTTTAAATCAAGAAGTTAGGTGTGGGTCGGGGAATAGTGCATATCGTTACCATCATTTATCACCGGCAGGTTCCTGGCAACTGGTAGCTTTTACCACCTGGTTGCCGACGGGCACGGCTCACCTGCATCAACGGTGTGCCGAGTGATGCGCCGTGTGACGGGATATTTGCCGGTGTCGTGCGCTGGCCGACGAACGCCCAAGAACTGGATGCCATGAGGGAGGCGTTCCATGCCATCGCCGGCTTACCGGACGTAGTTGGTAAGCATTAAGCAAGCACATCGAGCTTGCTTAATGCTTACCAACTACGTGCGACATTTCGATAGATTAAAGATAAAAGATTTTAGGTCCTCTTCGATAGCAGAAACCTAGTCGGTGATAACAGGACCCATAACAAAAAAAAGATGTACCTATAGGAATAGTAACACGTATCGTAATTTGCGACATGTCGCTGGCAAGTCTGCGACACCGTGATTCCATCCGGCGCCCGTTACTTTTCAGGATATATCGATGGGACTTATGTGGCTATCGACGTCCCAAAGGAATTGAAAGAAACATACATGTGCCGTAAGGGCTTCACGGCCCTGAACGTGATGGCGGTCAGCGGGCCGCGAGCGTCCATTGCACCGGCCGAGTACACGACGCCCGTGTGCTGCGCACATCTGGACTCCCCGGGTAGTAAGTACCGCTTGATAACTTCAATGTAAGGCTAGCCTTAACTAACATGCTCATATAATAACAAATGACATCGCCTCGGTCAACCTCTTAGCATGAGTCAACTGAGCATTACCGGCAACGTAAGCGATCATGAGTGGCCTCCCGCAGCACACATGATGTACAAGTACATCCACGATATGAGCACTCAGCATAATATTATGTATAATTGACATGTAGCATGCCATGAAATTGACTTGTGTGAAAAGTAGTAGTACATTTCACATTAATGCTCACGGTTGTGCAGTTCTTTCATGGGTGTTTCATGGCTCTTGCAGGGAGTCGGGGAGCCACAGTGAGCGTGTCGAAAGGGCTACTAGTGCTTAGTCAATGAACTACTTGGTCAGTCACAAGCTGAGTGTAGGCGGCTCCGATTCGAGAATGCCCAGCTGCGTTTGGGCTTGTATAGAGCCCAGCTAAGGGAGAGCAGGCACAAGGAGCAGCGCCGCCCATTGGAATCATAAAACAGACATGAGCGCCGAACCAAGGTCCAGCTTGCTGCCACTGCGGCAGCCTAGTGGCAGTGCAGCTAGGGTGGCAATGGTGATTGTTTCCTCTCAGGAAGTGAACACCAAGAGGACACCGGCACACTGCTGCTGAACGTGGCCGAGATGGCCTCAATCTGAGAGGAGCAGCGGCGGCACGTGGTCGGCCTTCAAGGTCCCGAGGGGGCCGCGCATCCGCCGCTCTACGTGCAGACCGGCACCTCCCGGATGGGCGGCGTCACTGCCAGTCTACCGCTACGCCAGAGGCAAAACGGGGCTGGAGTAGTACCACCTGCCCTTCTGCCGGTTCATCCCAGGTGAGTGAAGCACTGCAATGAATCAGAGACAAACGAATGCAGTACGGATGACTGAACATATTGCCTATTGGATTCCTTGCCATTGTTCTCCATGCCAAGGTGCCTTACGGGTTCAGGGGCAATGTGTTCGACGTAACCGTTCATTGCTCGTGTCCTTCTCACTCGATGGCATTCTCTTTCTGTGACAGGTACAACGACCACGCCATCATCTTCCAGGCGTACCTGCTGTAGTGGATGGTGCGCTGGAACCGGGACCGTGCGGACGCCGCGAAGAGGCGACTCCGGCTGCACGTCGATGCTTTGCAGCACCGCGTTAACGAGCTGGCTGCGCAGGTGGGCATGCCAGCGCTCTTCCTGCGATCGTCCATGGCCAGCTCGCATCCCATGACCTATCTCGGCTGGACTTTTGGTTTTGGGAGGTGGCAATGTCGGAAGTGAGGTGTGCTCCCACCACAATGAAGCAACTGATGAGCGTGGTCGAGAAGCTAGCGGCCGCCATGGATCCATCCAATGGAGGTGATGGGAGCCGTCTCCAGTCTCCGCAGACGCGCCGCTGTATGCATCGAAAGACGAGGAGCTCCTGTGGAAGAAGCTTGGGTGGAGACCCACCAGCGAAGTGCAAAACAAAATGTCCAAGTTTTGTGATCATGATGATGTAGAATGCTTACAAGAATAAAACATTGTTTCTTAGGTGTTAAAAAAACACATTCGGCGAGAAAACCCCTGTAGGCCCTGTTGCGATGTCCGACGCGAGCCGCGTAATGCGGCAGGTCTTCGTCAGGCTTTGCCAGCGTGTAACAGGACGGCAGTACGCCAGCAAGGGCGAGTCGCGGAAGCGCTGGGCCCAGAACCTTACACTGTGTCGCAAGCGCCAGCGCATGGTCCGGTCCAGTGCCCAGCTGCGCCGCGACACAACCATCGCCCTGCTGGACGTCAACCAGCATATGCTCAGCATTTGGTAAGCAAATCCTACTGCTAACATATCGGGGAAGGATTGATTTTTAGTGTCGATGACTGGCATCTCGCAGCTCCCAAGTCACAAACATATTATACCAATAACTGCATTCACATAGCTTTTCGTATACCTCTCTTAGCGCAGGATTAGCGACGGCAAGTCTGACCTATCGATTGCTTTGCAGGCACAACCGCGAGCAAGTCTGCGAACGCGGCTGACCTGCAGCAGGGCGTATGCCTGCCGGACCGGCTACACATTACACACCTTGGCGGAGCCGGCGCCCCCAGCGCGCGACCTACCGCAACTGCCGCCGCAGCCGACGGCCGACCGGAGACCGAAGCACCAGCTGGAGTCGCCGGCGGACACCGCTGGCACCAGCTTCGTTCGCCGGCGGCGGGCGGCGGCAGAGGCAACTGCCAGCGGCCCGAGTTGTGTACCCCAGCGGCGGGCGGCAGCGGACGCCCAGCGGGTAATGGCCGGGCAGGCCGAACCGGAGTCGGGCTCGGAGTCTGGGAGTGGGAGTCACCGCAGTCGGAAGAAAATAACGCCGATCAAGCCCAGCCCGAGGAGAGGCCCGGGACGGCCCGTCAGCGTCGTGGGGGGACGGCATTAGCCCGTGGGATGTCCCGCTCCTCCCAGTGGCGGGCCAAGAAGCGCGAGGAGATGGACGCCAAGGGCTTCGTTCGGCCGGCGCGCGCCTTCTCATGTAAGATATGCCACGAGGACGTCAAGGCATCACCAACCCATGACCGCTACTTTGGCAAAGTGTACTGCCCAAGTGACCCGGAGCCGCGCCTGAGTGTACGCGAGTGGCGGGAGGAGCTCCGCCGCACTATCCTAGGAGTGAATGTTTCTAACTTATTTTACTTATTTTATTTGGTTTCAGCAAAATGCCAAAGGAGGCGATGAGCGCCGGGGAATGGACTGAGCGGCTCCGTATCTATGCGGAAACCGGCCGGTGGCCTCGGGAGCGCGGCTTCAAGCCGGCGCCGCGCCAGGCTCATTGGTACGCCCAGCTGCAGCGGGTAAGTACCAAGTACAGCCTTGTAAGTACACCACCGATGCTCGTTAAGTTGTCATGCTGAGTGATTTGTCCAATGTCCAGAAGTTGTTTGCATGTGGCAGGAGCGCACTGTGGGGGAGACCAAGTGAAACGGTCAGCGTTATATCGAAAATGTTGTTAAACCCGCGCCGGGTTGGCTAAATGTTTGAGCACCTCCCATGCGCTTTATGGCATACCTGTTCATGCATCTCTTCGGCACATGTTAAAATTTCAGACCCAGGTCTTTTAAGGTCAGGTCACCAAGTCAGACAGATGTCTTTAAGTTTTCGCACATGAATAGGTATGTAAGCCGTTAACTCCGGCAGATTGAGATACCACGTATGTATTTCTTCCAGGTCGAGCGATGCCCGAGGCAGCTGGCGCGGGGTGGCCAAAGCCTCCTGTTCGGCGGGCGGCCCGGCCAATGTTCGTGTGGCTACCACGTGGTGAGTGTTGTTTTTTATGCTTGGTCGGCCTCTATGAAACCAATCAACTGAAATGTAAAATGAAAGTTGCTGTCATTGAAGGTGCGGCTCGGAATTTGTACCACCCTTGTCACGTACCCCGATTTTGTATCCTGTCCGCCAGTGTCACTATGTCACTTGAGCAGATGTCGTGCTTAAAGCATCACATGTTTCTTATCGTTTTAATGGCATCTTCCTCGCTTCTCTTCTTAACCCTCTTGCCATTTTGCGCGGCACCTCGGGCTCCGACACCATCTCGGGGTCCAAGACCTAGTCGGGCCTTAGACCCAAATCTGGCGTCAGCTTGGGTGCTCCAGCCACCCATGGCACGGGCGCTGGCACCGATCGCGCCACGGGTGGTGGCCCCAACTCCGGCTTCGGTCCTAGCCCCGGTCTCGGCTCGGACTCAAGCCCCGGCCCCGGCCCTGGCCCCGACCCCAACTCCGACCCCGGTCTCTGCTCCGGGTCCGGCCCCGGTCTCGGCTCCCGCTCCGGTCCCGGTGTTGGCTCCGGCTCCGGCCCGGGTCCTAGCCTCAACCCCAGCTCCGTGTGTGACAGCTTCGGTGTCGGTGACAGCTTCGGCCCCGGTCCCGGTCTCGGCTCCGGCCCTAGTTCTGACCACGACCGCAACTCCGGCTCCAGCACCGACCCCGGTCCCGGTGTCGGCTACGTCCTCTGCCCCGGTCCTGGCCCCACCATCGGTCTCGGCTCCGGTTTCGGCTCCGGCCCCGGTTCCGGTGTCGGCTACGTCCTCTGCCTCGGTCCTGGCCCCAGCACCGGTCTCGGCTCCGGCTCCGGCTCCGGCTCCGGACCAGGCCCCGGCTCGGCCTCCGACTCTGACTGCAGCGCCACCGCGCAGGCGACTTCTGGTACGTGCATGCCCAGTGGCGGTCGCAGGGGGGGGGGGCCATCAGGGCCATGGCCCCCCCAAGGGCAAATCAGGGGGGGCCATCATATCATTTGCCCCCCCCCCAAACAACCGATGGGCCCCCATGGCCGTATGGGGCCCTGGCCCGTATTCGATTGTCACGAGGCTCGAGAAACCCACGCCAGCTATTAACAGCTCCCATACCAGTCTTTGAGGGTCCTACACTGACCTCTGAGGGCCCTTCAGTGGCGGTCAAGCGTCCACATTGACCGCTGAGGACCCGTATTGACCTCTGAGGGCCCTCCACTGGCCTTTGAGTGCCCCTAAACCGGCCTCAGGGGCCCAACCGGCGTCTGAGAGCCTCACACCGGCCTCTGGTGGCCTCATTTCTGTCTCTCGAGTCCCAAGACTAGCTTTTAAGTGTCTCTGAGGGCCCCGCACTGGATTCTGAAGACCCGATGTCGAGCCAGCATCGGCCTCTGGGGGCCCATCTTGGCCTTTGAGGGCCCTCCGCTGGTCTCTGGGGTCCAACGCCGGCCCATGCCGGCCTTTTAGGGCCCCACACTGACCTCTAAGGGCCCATGCTGGCCTGTAATGACCCACATTAGCCTCTGAGGGCCCCCCGCACTGGATTCTGATGACCCAATGCCGGCCGCTCAGGGCCCGCATCGGCGTCTCAGGGCCCATCTTGGCCTTTGAGGGCCCTCCGCTGGCCTCTGGGGTCCAACGCCGGCCCATGGCGGTCTTTTAGGGCCCCACACTGACCTCTGAGGGCCCATGCTGGCCTGTAAGGATACACATTAGCCTCTATGGGCCCCACACTGGATTCTGAAGACCCGATGCCGGCCTCTAAGGGTCCGCATCGGCCTCTGAAGGCCCATCTTGGCCTTTGAGGGCCCTCTGCTGGCCTCTGGGGTCCAACGCCGGCCAATGCCAGTCTTTTAGGGTCCCATTCTGATCTTTGAGGGTCCCATGCTGGCCTGTAAGGGCCCATATTAGCCTCCGAGAGCCCCCGCACTGGATTCTGAAGACCCGATGCCGGCCTCTAAGGGTCAGCATCGGCTTCTGCGGGCCCATCTTGGCCTTTGAGGGCCTTCTGTTGGCCTCTGGGGTCCAACGCCGGCCCATGTCGGTCTTTTAGGGCCCCACACTGACCTCTGAGGGCCCGTGCTGGTCTGTAAGGACTAGTGGTGTCAATCGGAACTTGAATCTTCGGAATTCCGATTTTGTCCAATGTCCAATTCGGAATTTGGTTGGACAAATGACAGCAAGCTTTGGACAACTTTGGACGTCACTTGCCTCACCTCAGTATTTTTATAAAGTAATCGTGTTCAACATTGATTGGCGAATAGAAAGCTCAGCTTTCAATATGATTAACACTTTTGAGCTCGTAGAAGTGCATTAAAAGCAAATTAAATAACAATGTTGACTGTAAACCATTGCGTAGATTTCGGACATCTTTGGACACATGGTTGGCTTGGACATTTTTGGACTACAGTCGACGTAAGCTTTGGACATCGGACGGACATTGGACATTGATTTTCTTGAACTGACACCACTAGTAAGGACCCACCTTAGCCTCTGAGGGCCCCGCACGGGCTTCTGAAGACCTGATGTCGGCCTCGAAGGGCCCGCATCGGCCTAGTCTGAGGGCCCATCTTGGCCTTTGAGGGCCCTCTTCTGGCCTCTGGGGTCCAACGCCGGCCCATGTCGGTCTTTTAGGGCCCCACCTTAACCTCTGAGGGCTCCATGCTGGCCTGTAAGGAGCCATATTAGCCTCTGCGTGCCCAATTCGGTCTCTGATGGTCTCAAACTGCCCTTTGCAGGCCCTGTACTGGTCTCTGAGGGCTCTAAACTGGCCCCTAAGAGCCCAAACCAGCCTCTAAAGGTCCCACGACCCACACCGGCCTCTGATGGTCCCATTTCTGTCTCTGGGACCGAAACTGCCCTTATGTGCCTCTGAGGGCCCCGTACTGGCTTCTGAAGGATCGATGCCGGCTTCTGAGGACCCATACCGGTCTTTAAGTGCCTCATAGCGACACCTGAGGCCCCACACTAGCCTCTGAGGGGCCCGCAAACTGGCCTATGAGGTCTCTACACCGGCCACTGATGGCCCTATGATGTTCTCTGGGGGGCTCAAGCCTTACCTTTGGGCGTCACGCACTTGCTTATGAAGGCCCACATCAGCCTCTGTGGCCCTACCTGGGGTCTTTGAGGCCCTTCGCTGACCCTTGGGTCCAACGCCGGTCTCTGGGGGTCTGACACCGTACTCTAAGGGACCCATTGCAGCCTCTAGGCGATAGGTATCGCCGAAGCGCTATCGATGGGCCCATAAGTGTAGGAACCATGGGTGCAGTGGGCGCAGTTGCACCAGCAATAATTCTGCAGTGAGTGCAGACAATGTATTCTGCATCCACAATAATCTGGAACAAAACCCCCTTTCCTCAGCAACACTACTTTCCATGCAGCACGACAATTTTAGGATATTTTGCCCACTATCCGTCTTTCGAAGCATTTGCTACTGTAATGGTCTTCAAAATTTGCATTTGTGCTCAAGTAAAAAAAGATTAAACGGAAGTCGGAACACATGTGATTGAACAGTGAACAGATACCGATGACCCACTGTTAAAAGTTTTAGCACGATGATCTTAAAAAATGGCAGTTTTTTTTTGCAAAGAAAATGGCAAAGCTAGCCGCCTTTACTTTTGCGGTAGTCCATTCACAGTTGCGTGAATTATTGACATAATCAATGCTTCAAAATGCACTTTTCGGTACCTTTTCGACATGGTGCACCCTCAAAGCTCTCAATGAGCCTCCGCTCGGGTGCCGCTCCCTACCCCCCCCCCCCCCCCCGCTTCACCGGCCATGGCCTAGATTTCTGCACCCGTGCACTACGCCCGTGGGCCCCTTTAAGCTAGCACCGGGCCCCCCGGGTCAGCACAGGGGCCCCTTTGCCAAGTTGCCCCCCCCCCCAAACTCCAAGTCTGCGACCGATCCTGTGCATGCCTTTTTTCGTGAATTTCTTGTCACGGAAATCTACTTCGGTATGACACAAGTCGTCCTTTAATCGCATTGCTTTGGGGTTGCATTTAACGTAGCTCACATTCAGACTTCCGTGTTTCGACGCGGACCTCACAACCGTCCGTTTATCAAGCTAACCCAACTACCAGTCTTCTGTTTTTTTTTTCAGGCAACACACCAAGCCATACCGGCAGATGTCTGGCGCCAGCGCTTAAGGCGTTATGCGCGGACCGGGGTATGGCCACGGGAGCTGGGGATACGACCCGGGCCGCGCATCAAGCGGTGGTTTGCCGAACTTCAAAAGGTATGTGAGCACAATTGATTGAAAGAGACACAGGCAGTGATAACCCAGCCGCCGTCCTTGCACATGAATAGTCATGTGCGGCACCATTCCTGGCTTAAGAACCGGCCGTTCCCGTGAAGCAGTACTCTTTTGCTATGGCTTATTTTAAGATGAATTTTCTACTTGCTACTTCTGTGACCTCGTGTACAGCATTTTAAAGAGTAAGCATTCACTCAGTTTGGGTGCTGGAATGGATGCTTCCATGGAATGGCTGCCCCAGTCGTGTGCGGTGTGCGTATGTACATTGTACATATATAACCGTTTTTTGTTCCACAGGGCATCGACAAAGTAATAACGTGTTGTTTTTCTTGCTGTAATCATTAAGGTACGGGTCGACTCAATGTCCGAATGTCTTATTTACTAAGACGTAAACTGACCCTCCCATACATACGTTTTGTAGTTCAGACGATTTGTAGTTAAGAAAATATGCACATATTACAGATTGAAAAGTGCCCTCGCCATCTGGTAGCGGGGCAGCTACCACTGTTTGGTGGACCCACCAGCCGCTGTATTTGCCGCTACCACGAGGTAATTGACTAAGCAGCATCCCTATCTTTGATTGCTGGTGCTGATGAAGGAAAACATTTGCGATTCATATTTAGCAGTAATGTTTGGTTGTCAGCTAAGATAAATTTCAGATGTCGCCCGTTTTCCCTCCCTAACCGTTTTCCACGCCAATTGCACAACAAATCGCGTTCTAGACCATAACGTAGGACTACGTTGCAATCCTTTTTTTTTTTGGTAAACATTGATGTGTAAAAGGCTCACATTTTCAGCTTTTAGACACATTTACCTATGTCTAAGAAATTGGCAGTACTGGCAAACCACCAACAGTTACAGTCAAGCGCACTGAATGAGGTGTTATTTTATCACCGTTTCAGGATGTACAAGCGACAGCACCTTCGCCGCCGACTCAGGCTCGTACGCCGGCAACGGGACCTGCCGGGGAAGTGGTAAGATGAAATTGTGACTGACTTGCTTGATTGGTTTGCAAAGCGCAACAACTGTCTCCAGGGTCACCGAGTGATGCCTTTTACCAGAGCAAATAATTTGTAAACCTAGTTGTTTATAGTAGCATGCGTCTGTTTCAGGGTGCCCAAACGATGCCGCCACCGCCGCCGCTACCACCCACCCCACCTACACCGCCTACGACGGCGCCGACCCAAGAGGCGGTAAGGCTGCAATGTGGTCAAATTATTTGAGCAAACACATGAGATTCATTTGAATGGCCGTTCACATGGCACAACAGCAAATGTGTTACATATATGGTGTGCTAATGGTATGCGTCCATTTCAGGAGGTCCTATCGGTTACGCCGCCGCCGCCGCCGCCGGCCCAGCCCAGTACCCGTCGCCATCGCTGGGGCCAGACGGGGAAGCGGTAAGTGCGAAATGTGATTGGGATTGCTGCAGGCCTGGTCAATTTCAGTCAGGGCCTGGTTCAAACCGGCTTAAGTCATGGTCTAAACTGGCTGACTATCCCATTTGATAATTGATCAATTATTGTACGTAGTTACTCTTTAAAGCCCGCATGATCGGCAACGCCCAAAGAAATTACCCAATGGCGCACTAAATATGCTGTGTGGTATTGCATCTCCATTTCAGAGTATTCCAGCGGTAGCGCCGCCGCCGCCGCCGCTGTTCTCGCTTCATCTACCACCGCCGCCGCTTCCCCCACCGCCTTCAACGGGGTCGGCCAGGGACCTGGTAAGCTGGAAATGCGATTCGGCTTTATTAAACGAGCGTAAGGATAACGTCAATTTGATTGAGCAGTTACATAATCCAAGGGGAAGAAGCCTTGCTGTGAATATGTTGTATCATTGTTACATGACTGTGTGTTTTAATATCATTGTCTATTTCAGGGTGTCGAAGTGGTGCCGCCGATGCCTCCGACGCCGCCGCCGCCAATAATAAGGGGGTCGCGCCGGGAGCAAGCGGTATTTCCATAACTGAGCGTCATTTAAAAGGGCCCTCCCGCCTTCCAAAACGTTAAAGGATTGGCCTTAAAGTGATGTATCGTGGTTTCAGAAGGCGGAAGAATGAATGTCTACTAAAGCTCATTTAAGGGACTAAGGGTTGCAGCTGCACCCCCTATCAACAAATACATTAAAGCGAAAACCAGAAAGTCTTCCTCTTGTAAGGAAAATGTGCATTCTATGGGAACATCGTTATCGTGCGTGATAGGCAATCCCACCCTTTAATGAAATAGATGGTGTGTAGATAAGTTCCAATGTATCAAATGATTGCCTAGACATATGAAGGCACGACAATAAATTCGAGATAGTCGTCCCAATAACCAATTGCTGAATCCCAATTTAGCCTCGTGTCTGTCCCTTTTCTCCTGCGTGTGCCCCTATTCTCCTCAAGAGACTGGTTTTGTTTTCGTCCACATATAGCCACATCATTACATAGGTTGGGTATTTCATGATGGCATGATGCAGAGAAATGGCTGACCTTGTGTTTGGTGTTGAAGCAGTTTGGCAACAATACTTTTCAAAGAATGCCTCAATAAATCTGGCCTGGGAAAAATGTCCTAACTCTCCCGCCTCTCCGCTACCGCTAACTTGAAATTACATGGACCAT